AGATAACATACTCAAGAAGCTGTATGTCAATGTGAGTCAACGTAGTCAAAATAGGTATATAGCAAATAAGCGAGGTCTCAAACTCTCTACTTGTTTAATCCTTCCTTTCGCAATTCTCGGTATCAGACTATATGCATTTGGATGAATACAAGTTCATCTTCACAACAATAGAGATTATCTCTTCGGTAAACAAATAAATCCAATTTGAGCTGATTTGATTCATTTTGAGTCCTGGATAAAATAGGCTTGATTTCTAAACTAAAGTATAAGCCATAACAGATTTTTGAGCATTATTCCGGTTGAAAAACTATCTGTATCTTATACATACAGGATTACAGTACTTATTTCAATATATATATTTTAGCTGTTATTTTACATTGTGCACTTTTATTTTTTTTACTTCCTACAGTCTATATTATATTTTACTTTAATTAAATATTTTCACCTTTGGATGATTTCCAAACTCATGTTGGTGTCTAGAAGCCACAAAATCCGGAAAAATGTATGGAATTTAAGGGACTTTAGAGAAACATTATGAAAGATTTATCTCCCTTACAATATGCCATTAGATAGATATTATCTCTCTGCTAAACAGATAAATACAATTTGACCTGATTTTGCCTGTTTTGAGTCCTGTAAAAAAATAGGATGGAGTTTTAAACTAAAGTATAAAATGCAGCAGACTTTTGAACATGATTTTGAATGAAAAAAACCTGTGTCTTATACACACAAAATTATGGTAATCATTAAATTTCACTTCCACACATGAATGCTAGTCTGATAATTTTCTATTCATCACTGTCAGTCCTACACAGATTGCTTAGGTTGGATTATGTAAGAATAAAGTTTTTTCAATTATTAATAGCAGGCAATTAGAACATTTTTCTGTGAGTTATTATAGGGAATTATTATAGGGACCAATGAAAAAATGTACCTTTTGAATCTTTTAGGCACATCTCTGAATATTTTGCATTTATAGAAAATAGATAAGTACAAAATGAATGATTTCTTGAATTCATGTCATATCTGTTTGCATTCAAGATACGAGATAAAAATTTGGCATTTGCTTGCTTCTTACATATGCTCATAGTATATGTTATGTTACTATATGATTTCATTAGAATTAATTTACTTGTAACATCTATTTATTTGACAAGTGGATTATTCTAACGACACAAAAATTCACAATATTTCATAATATAAAACATGTATTACACAATGGTTGTCAAGACATTAAATGAAGTATTCTATAGAATAAATGAAGGTATGATTAAAAATTCATAGCTTGACCCATTTCTTCAAATCTGACCAAATGGAAGAGCTTCTTAGTTGGGCCAAGAACTTTTCAGTACCCTCCCCTCATTCACACATCTAGACATTTATTAGCTTGACCAACAAAGTATGTCACCAACAGAGGATAAAACTCACTATCAATGGCTTTCGATACTAACTTGCTATTTGTTGCTCTACAGCAAATACTCAAGTAGATATTGACTCAACAGCCTGGCACAAGGCTACAATAATGAAGCACCAAGTAAAAACTGCACACTTTCTACTTTACAGTAGGTGCCAAAGGATATGCATCCACATGAATATGTAATAAAAATAAACACAGATCAGCATATGGAGCAAGAGTGAAGATTGTGGGATGAGGTCATTGTTAGATTGGCTGACCTTTTAGATTATGCTCTTGCTTCTTGAAGACGATTCAGACTAGTAGATTGAAAACCGCTGATGGCTAAGTCCACTAAAACACATTGATCTCTGCTCTACCCGCTCCAAGGCTAAGCACTCGAGGGTGTTATGAGGAATATTGACAACTGACAAGTTGCTCTTCAGCTTGTCTTTGTATCTAAGCCATGGGCGTCCTACATTCCTGTAGCCCTGATCTATCTGGCTGTACATTGGGATCTTGGATCATTCTCAAGACATGACCAGTCTACTGCAACAGAGACTGTATGAGGAAAGTCTCAATTCCTCCAATATTACGCCTGTTAAACAGGACTACATTGGATGTCCTGTCTTGAAGATAGCATGCAAACAGCTCTTATGGAAAACATCTAGCTGGCATATATGGTACCTGAATGAAGTCCATGACTGAGCCATACAAAAGGATGGCAAGGGCAACAGCTTTGTGAACCTGAATTTTTGTATGCAGTCAGATACCCTACTCATCCGCCAAGCGATGGTGAAGTTTGCCGAAAGCATTGGTAGCCTTAGCAATCTGACGCATGATTTCATCATCTAAAGATCCACTATAGTTGACTTTGCTACCAAGATAGGTGAAAGACTTTACATAGTCTTCTACTTTCAATGATCTCTCTGGAAATTTTTATATATATATATATATATATATATATATATATATAAACACACACACACACACACACACACAGTGGGCCAAAAGTAGGTGTACAGTTGTTTAATTATTTATATAGTGATTGGAGTTTATTTTTTACAGTTATTGTGAATAATGGCAAATAATTTGAGTTGAGAACAAAGAAAGTGGATTCTAAAGCAGTATTGGAAGATTAAAATGCAGGGAGGTGTGTAAAGCATGGAGAGAAACATTTGACACTGTTCCATTAACACAGCTGACAATTTATTATATAAGAGATAAATTTGAAAACATGGATTCAGTGGTTAATGTACCGAAATCTGGACATCTGATGATGTCTATGAATGAAGAAAATGAGAGAACAGTGTTAAACAAATATAATTGTAATAAATAATTGTTAATGTAATAAAATGTATAAAAAAATAAACAGCCTGTATATATATATATATGTAAAAATATCAGATAGAGCATATCTATAACAGGACAGTATGAATAAAGACAAAAGATAAAGTCCCTCAGGTGAAAGGCATTGATTCTTTTTTTGTGTCTTTTAAATATATATATATATATATATATATATATATATATATATATATATAGTATGATTTTGGAGGTATTTTTTGCTTTTTTTTTTTAAAAAGAACATTTTATATCCAACAAATTTGGTAATTTGGGATATTTACAAATCTTTGAGAACAATGAGATTCTATTAAAAAATGCATTTCCATTAAAACACTGCATAAATTGGTTAGTCTTCCCTCCAACCAAAATAAAAAATATTAATCATAAAGCTAAGAAAAGTTTGTAAATGAGTAATTCTTCTATATGATGTGTCCCTTCAGGACATTGGTAATCATGGCTCACCACAATTTCCTGTCCTTTGGAACTCATAATAAATTTTGTCTTTTTATTATCTCATAAACTCTCTTCTACCATCCATTTACACAACCTCGATAGATAGGTTATGTGTTCATTTCCTATTGCACTTGCTGTCCTATGTGTATCAAATTTTCCAAGTCCTCTTTCCTTATTATGTGCCCTAGAAATTTTGACTTTCTCTTCCTAATGTTAAATACAAGTGTTATTTTTGTTTCCATTTTCTCTAAAACTTTGTTTTTGCTCACATGTTCAGTTCATGGTATTCTCAGCATCCTTCTGTAGAACCACATTTCTGTTGCTTCAAATCTCTTTTTCATCTGTGAGGAGATTGTTCAGTATTTACTGCCATGAGGAGGACTGATATTATGTAACATTTCAGTACTTTTTTGTTTCTAACAAAATTTTCCTGTTTCTTAATACTGTAGCTTTTGTAAGGCATCTTTTGCTATCCCAATGAGCCATAGGATATCAGTGTGGCACTTTCCATCCTATATTAAAACATTCTCAGATATTTAGATTGTTATACTTGTTTGACTTTGTTATCTCCAATTTGTAATTTTCATGTTGGGCTCACCCCTTTTACTGACAACCATGCATTCTAACTTCTTGCAATTGATGCTTATTCCTTTCTCACTTGATTTCCTTCAATACATTCTGTAGGAGTTCTTGTAGTTTCCTTTCTGTGTCTGTTACCAACACTGTGCCATCTGTATATCTTGTTAAGATTGTGGCTGACAATAATGAATCCTGGTAGGACTTCTAATTCCATCAGAATCACTTCACTGTATAGGTTGAATAAATCTGGTAAGAAAACACATCCTTACTGCTAAGAATAAAAGAAAGGAAATTGGAGAGAGATGATTGCTCATGTTCTGAACGGACATGGTACATAAAGAAAATTCAACTACATTAATTATGACAGTAGTGATTTTGATCCTCACTGGGTGTCCCATACTTTCAGTTTTGTGTCACATCTAAGCTACACTTAGAAAATCACTATAGAGAGAATTCATTTTAGGTTTCTTTCAAAGTCAAAGAAACTGATAAGCTCAAGAAATACACCAACACTTGGACTGAAGTTGCCAGAACATGAGCTGTTTAGGCCACTATTGTTCCGGTCATCACTAGGACATTGGAGTCTATACCAGTGAACCTCCTATATCAGAATAAGGCCAAATATCCTATCACTGCAGAAGTTTGTGGTGCTTGACACTGCAAATATTCTGCAGAAGGTGCTATACAACTTGATAGA